TAGTTGGCAAACCCTATTTTTAACCGCCTTCCCTCTGACCATTGAGTCGAGGCATTCTATCACTGCCTTGAGGGTCGGATTATTTTATCGAAAACTTGAAAAAGGTTGTTCGATCCTACTCACAATACTGGTATGGCCATTAAAACCACCGCATGATGGGAATGACCGTCTACTCTGTTTCTTGTCGATTTATTTTATGTACTATATACACTAGCACTTTGCGTTTCCGGTTTGTGGTGCCACATATACACTGCACTTACTGTTAAATGGTTTCCGTAGGCATATACTATGACAATAAGAGTAATCGGTTCAGAGTTTGATATCATGTCTCGAAAAGGCAGTGTTGGTGGTTTTCGACGCTAGTTTCAGGCATTTCAGTGAGTAAACCTCAATTGTTGAACGCATTTAATGCTTGGATTGAGTTCCTGTTAATTGTATCAATTTGTCCTAAATCGCTATTCTGTTGTTTATTTGTCTGCACAATGAACAAGACTATCATCCCATCATTTTTCTCTCAGGGGGTCAAATTCATGTATGACTGTGTGACCGGGCAGCAAATCCCCGACAACTTTGGTTGCATAATGGCAGATGAAATGGGATTGGGGAAAACGCTTCAATGTATCACCCTCATTTGGACCCTTTTGGTACGTTCCTTCAACCTGACAACTATTTTATTGAACCCAGTCCGGGTGACTATGAACCATGATTCCTGAAGCTAGGTACTGCCAGCCGGACTTTTTCATTAAATCGGGCTCTGTTCCCTTTTTTCCACTCAAACTATGTGTATGGCTTATTTATAGCTCAGTAGTCACTGGAACCAATACTACTAACCTCCAAACCATGCACCCGATCGATCATATGACAATTTGCCGTTCTCCTAATCTCGATTTGTGGTTGGTTGCATGGTAAAAGCAACCGCTGATTAAACCCTACCAATCACCAGCGTTGGTCCATTATGTGAGTGCTATTAATTGGTCGCTTGAGAAACTCCTTTCATTTGTTTTAAGTTTAGTAGGAAGATGAATTATTTTATCTACTTTCTATAACCTGATTTCATCTATTTGCCTGTGGAAGTCATTTACAGAGTTTCTTAAGTGCGCCTTCGTTTCTCTTTATTTGAACTTGCGGTTGATTCTCTTCTAAGAATTGGCCCTCGTAAGAATGGAATGGTACAAAACACGTTACCATCATTTGTTGAAAATTCAAACAACATCTACTTTTCAGTACAACTTTACAAATAATGCTTAATATACTTTGCGCATCTCGGAGATTGGCCATTGTAGTCGGTTTGGTTGAGTTCCTCTTCAGACCTGAACGACTTGTGTTGTTGGCAGTGGACCGTCGCAGACCGAATACATACTGTCATAGTTTAGTCAGCTTGGGTGTACTGAACACAGTTTATATGTAAAATGCGAAATTTTCAAACACGAGAAATCCAACGCAACCCATTGCATGCTGCTCTGATCACCATCAGTGCACTGATAGCTACGTATGTACAAGGTGGGTATGCTTGAAGATGAAGCAATCGAGGGAATCACATTACTCAACACACAACAGGTATATAAGCAGTTTCAATTTTCAATTTTTACAACCATTAATCATGCACTTTCGTGCGTCGGTTTTGGTTGCTTTTTTTGGTGCCTCATTTGGATAAAAGAGCAAAATGAAGATTGGAATGTTGAAATCAAATTCAAGCGGAAGATGGAGAATTCATATAAGTGGTGTTAAGAGAATGAGTGGATGCTCCAGTACCACTGTTCGTGACACCCAACCATATCATTCAATGTATCTAACCACATCGGTCACCTTCATCTCGGGGTCCCCAGCTAGTGAGCCTAACGGTGCCTACTTGACCTAGTCTCCTGGTTATGGTTTTCATACCACATCTTAGCTTGAACACTCTTGGCTTTATTCCACCCTCTACCTGCCTCGGCGAACATTGCTCACCGTGGTAACCTATCTGGTGACATGCGTAACACATGTTCCAACCAACGTAACCTATGGAGGTCGATCACTTGCTCCAGTAGACGACCGCAACTGCCTAAAACTCTACGTCTGACCTCAGCATTGCTCGTCCGGTTACCCCACGAGACTCGTGCAATGCTACGTAGACAGCGGTGTTCGAACACCGAAAATCTATTTTTATCTTGTTCCAATAGTGACCAAGTCACCATAGAGCAAGACTGGCCGAACTACTGCAGCATATACTCGACCCTTCACAGACAGCCGGATGTCGCGACGGTATCACAAATGCCTCAATTTGGCAAATGCCAACCGAGCCTTTTGCATGCACGCAACCCTTTAGTACAGTTTATTCTGTTTGAGAAATGAGAAATGCTGTTAGTTTACCACCGTTATGTCTCTCTCTTCAGCCAACCGGATAAGAGAAAATACAATCACAGCGACTTAAAATATAAAAGTCTATCTAAAACGGGCACACTCACATCTACTTCAATGGCACGTGACACAAATAATTCCGATTGGGGTAGATTTGAAATGCTAAGGATCTTCGGAGCCGATCACTCCTGTGATAAAACTGTTGGTCCAGTGGAAGGTAGAAGTTTGCAAGTCATTTCATTTGAAATTTGGTTTGCTCTCTGAGGGGAAATCTGCAAAGCCAGTGTAAACCGTGTTTTGTATACTGGGGAGTGTATATTCAGCTACTACGTATTGAAAATATTATATCTGACGTATATTCTTGAAATCCTGACAACTATCCTTAACTTTTATCGAATGATAAAGCACAATCTGTACTAGTTTATCTTGTGAAGCGATTTTTATTTACCTTTATCTTAACACACTACCCACTCTGTTCACCACGATCTTCCCAAATTTGGTTTTGAAAGATTTCAATTTGATTTCCAGGCTTCACTTTCTGTTAGTATTCGCTGTCTGCATTGCACCACCTGTTTTATATCTAGGCGTTTAAAAATGTCCCGCAAGTTTTCAAACAAAGTTGACTAAGTAAATCTCTGCTTGTTCTGTTACATTCCTTACCTTATACGTACCAGGAAATTTATATCTTCCTGTACTGAATAACCTTCCAGATTCCTAACCAATCCTGAATTTATTAAATCGTATGCTGCGAATGGTATGTTAAATTGCATTACTGCCATCTCAAGCTACAAACCGCTAAACTCAAGATACCTCCATTGGCTGGTTGCCGGTCGTATACTTCCACGTCTGAAGTCCAATTCAATGGTAATGAGTTTGCCAGATTTGATCACTCAGCGTCCTACAATATTCTCGGGCTTCATTAGATTTGTTAGCTACAGCTAGGTAAATGGCCTTTGAACACGTGTAATCGCATGTAGTTGATGCCACTCCAAAAACCTTAGACATGGTCCATTCAAATACTGCACTCATGCTGCGACGTATTCGCGAATGAGCTGGGTTATCGCACTTGTGCGGTTTTTAACCTGTTACTTCGATACGATGCCGATTTTCGAATTCTTAGTTCTTGAAACTAGATAAGAACACCTAGAAAATTATTGTCATTCGACCAATGAGTTTTCCTCATGGAGTTATGATCAAACGAAGACACTCTCTTGGGGCTTTCTCTGTGATAAATGCAATAAGACGATTAACCCATTTTTATCGGTGTAAGCTATTTATTCAGATATTAAACGCAGAGGTGGGTTAGATTAGGTAGTCCTTTAATAACCAAAAGATCAGTAGGAATATTGTTGTCTTTATACCTTCCTACAGAATCCACACTACGTCGATCTCTACCTTCGGTTTCAGTACATCATCCACACGCTTACATCTTACTTTTTATATATACAGTCACACCCGATCGCCCATGTTTTAGCCTACAGTGTGCCTGGAAGTGGACACTCGAGTTTCACTCAAAAGCGTTCTCTATACGATTGCGTGACAACCACATTGAGGCTTTTGGAGAGCGGTGCGGCCACATCGCAAAAACGCACCAATTGATCTCAATCGTGAACGCCGGAAATAGGTCACTGATCTATCTGGTATTTCCAGGTAGATGTGCCCATCGGGGGATGTGTATGCGAACCCACTTTGAACAGCAGGTCCTCGTGACTATGGGGTTTAACCCGTTTACTAGTCATTACACTAGAGTGTGTAATAAAAATAAACAAAGAATCGCAACCAGAATTTAGGCACAACAGGAAGGCTAGACATCGAATTATTTCAGCCGATCTGATATCGAATTTCGTTAGGGATTTCAATAACAGTACTTAACATGGTCCTATCACATCAGTCATTGAGAATTTCTCTATTCCCGTTGATTTACAGCTCGACAATTGATACTCTACGATAACATTCAGAAGAACTACTTCATTCGGTTTTGACGGTTGGGTTATTGCATTCACCTTCGTCAATGAGATTGAGAGTGTTTATGTGACGACCGTTCCCATGAACCATGACCGGTGGAGAAGTTACTGTGTGCCTGTCATCACCCTCGTTCCCCAGACCACACAAGAGGAGCCAAATTTCAACTATAATCCAATGTCACCTACTGAACTCGATGTCGCGCTTATAAATATGGTGTCAAATACTGAACGTTCGCTCATTCTGGTGTAATAATCTATGGCTAACTTGACAACGATGCAGTCGCAACTGCAGCTGTCAAAGTGCGTTCGCGTACACATCCCTTAACAAGCACATTTATCCGGGAGATCCAGGTATTTCCAGCTGTCGTCTGCCACCTTGCCTTATTCACTATAACCTCTTCGGGCTGGAGAAAATCACTTTGTTATAAAGATTACTGTACTGTGTTTTGTCTGGTACACTGTCCGGATCCAGACGTGTGTGAGAATACTAATAAATTGCATTGATCAGTGAAGTTCGTTTCACTGTACGATGATGTCAATGAATCAAGTATGTTGGTGACCCCATTCCAAGTCAACTCCGAAATCGCTTTATTCGTCCTAATGGATGGATTTTCAGCTCCTTGCACACCAGGTCATCACATACAGTCACAGAGAAAAAGTAAAATAGTGTCGTAAATTCAAGAGGAAGGTGGCGTAAAAATGAATGTCAGTTACCTAAGAGCTTTAAAAAGTTGTCTCTTATGGATACTTTTTGTGCCAGAAATCTCGATAACGGACTAACGGTAGGCAGTGGTACCAGTATACACAAGTTTATAACGATACCTAGTTACAGAAGTTGGTGCACATGATGCTTAAGTTCTGTTTGTAATGGGTGAGTGATGTCAGAGAAAAATATTGTTGCAGAAGTGTTCGCAGGAGGTGAAATGTTTGTTGGTGATATTCAATTGGAATGCGTCTGTACTTTCTTGAACCTATTGTGATACGGCCGCAGATCGCTCGTATACTCTTAGCCTATCCGTCACACCGGGACACCCTCGGGTTAAGCAGAGCTGAATGCTACCAGGCGCGTCCCCGGCTAATGGATAGGGGATACCTTCACCGAAGCAGGTTAGCTGTGAATAGGTTGTAGCATACCGCAACAATTAAGCAGTCGCAAACAAACAGCGGCACCTCTACCAGGGTGTGGTGGGTTTCAGGCTGGTCACCTGGCTCCTGTTTAAAAACCGCGTAAACCCAGTGACGGTTTCGTGACAAAGGTCGATGTGACAGGCCTTTTAAAACTAAAGTCATTGACCTCCTCACTTCCGAGGCGAGGGGTTACTTCCTGCTGCCTTGCAGTTCGCACTTGGTTGTGCAAAGGCTAGAGGTATGCCCTCAAAATAAAAAGTGCCCAGTGATTCTGGGGACGTCTCTCGTACCAAACTCCCAAGGAACTTCATAATCATGATCATGTCTGGAGCGGGCTTAACCTTTCGAAGGAGCCAGCCGCAGTAAAGTAAAATAAAGTGAGCGCACAAAGGTATGTAGGTTACTTCTTATCAGCTGATTGATTCCGTTTTCGTCTTCAGATGTATTGTTTGCTGTAATTTAATTAGTTGAAGCTGACTAGGCTGTTCTTTACACTAACCGCAAAATTACTTTTTGATTTTTCCAATTCCATCAGCTTCCACCAGTAATCTCGATTTTTCCCTATCTTTTGCATTTTCATCTCAAGTCAAGTCAGTTGTGATTTTATGCACCAGTTGTGCATCTTTGTTCACTTATTTAAGAGAAAAAGAAACATTTTTGATCCTGACTGACAGTTTGTTATAAAAATGCAAAGCAGACTGAATCTGGCTTGTTTCATTGGCTATCTTTTATTTGACCTTTTGATGAATGGTTCTCATGGTATAGATAGCCTTGAATATCTGTCCGAGTAACATCTATCATGCTTTTGATCTTAGGTCTTTTTTATTTTTGTCAATATCTAGCGTCAAGGTCCCGAAGGCAAACCGACTATAGACAAAGCAGTTGTTGTGACTCCAAGTAGTCTTTTGAAGAACTGGTACAATGAATTCTACAAATGGCTTCACGGGAAAGTCCATCCATTGGCCATAGANTCGGGCACCAAGGAAGAGATTGATCAGAAACTGAGTAAGTGTGGTTACTGTTGGTTTCCATTCGGAGTTTTCTCTACTCGTGTCTATTGGCATTGAAACTTTCAACTTGAGGTCAATTTTCAAGTCTTCGATTTTTCCAAATTGATCTGTCTCTGCAGGCGGCCTTCGTATGAAGAGAAATTCCTTTGGGGGTTTTAGACAGGAAAACTGTGACTCAAGATGATTTGCTGGTGTGAATTCCCCGAAAAGAAAGTGGATGGTGCACCAAATCAGCTGACTGTGTGAGATAGAGTTTTATCAGGACTGTACCCATTGGCCTTTCACATTCGATTGGGTTTACGTGTACTTATGGCTATCCGTGGACCAAACTGCAACCGCGTTACATGAATAACATCAGAGAACATCGAAGAGCAATATGAGAAGTCGGGGAAACTTGTGAGACAAAAATCAAAGCAAGAACTCACAAGCATCCGCCCTGAGTGTCTCCATTATAAGGGTCTGGAGGAGAAAATTTTTTCACGCATTGTGGTAAGTGGCTTCCAGACTGAAGTAAACAAACGTACATGGTGGTATTCAGCACATCGGGGTAAACATCAGCTGAGATCTTATTCTAGCTGTTGCAGATGCCTTGAACAGACACCACAAAAATATGGGCACCAAATTAGTGTATCATTGGCACATTTACCGACGAGATAACAAAGAATACCATGAGTATTCCCAGATAATGGCACTTCGTAAACCGTGCACAGTCTCTGAATATTCCCTGATGCAGCTGCCCCTGAGTTGGTGTTGTGGCATAAACCCAGCCGCGGTTTGTCTACAACCGAGCCGATCAGCTGCCTTAGCACCTGTGTGAGATCCCCTTGCATTCCCAGCCTCTTGAGAGTGAACAAGTTTAAACGCAGGGTCATATATGACCCTCGTGAACCTTTTTTAGACCGCCTCTAGGCCCTTGACTTCTTTCACGCAGGGATCTCTAAATTTATCCACCCTTCATCGGACCTATTGCTTCCCCGTTATTTCCTCCAGTCTCTTGACCAGGCGCTCTCTGAAATTCTCAGTATGGTCGGGGGTGGGTGTCTAGGGTTGCAGCTGGTCACCCTTCCCTTGCACCTCAAGAAATGCTCCCATACGACCAAGTGTCTCAAATAGTCTCTGCTGAGGAAGTCCTACTCACTGCCTTCTCGTGGCGGAGGTGTTTCTCACCAAAGTGAGAGGACAAAAAGCCGATATTCTGGACTATAACCATGTTGGTGAACCACTGGCAGTTCGCCTAGGGGAGTTGGCTAAGACCCCTGATTGCAAACCAACCAAGAGGTGTACGAACCACACCCACCTTTCCGGTTGTGATAGTGGTCACCGGCTCGATTGGGCATCGAGGTTTATTGTGGACCTTGGACGTTTGACCCCGTCCAAAGGGCGTATGATCCGATGAACTGGACACCGGCTCCCAACGGATTGCGGTTTTCGCACACCGCCCCGCTGCCTTGCGGGTCAGGCTTTGGTTAGCGAAAGGCTCCGGTTGTGGATTCCCCAAGAAAATTCACCTGCCTTGGCCCGGGCAACCTGGCAGTATTCGGTCTACTTGCAAATCGTGGAGCGTTTTTATTTTAATAAAGATTATTGTACCACGAGTTGGTTTGCACAGTCTGGCATCAAACGTGTGTGAAATATACACATACTCTGAAAAACCATCTCTAGATATGGAGCTGTCGATTAAATGAGACTGGTTGAATCCATTGTCAACCAACATCTTAAGACATGCGAATGTTTGTGTGGCTTAATTCTGTCTGATGGATTCCTTACAATCAATCTTCTCTCGCTCCATTTCCACTTCTATAATCCGCAATAAATTTAAACCTTGTTTACGTTCATACCACATCTTTTCACAAGTCCGTTGTACATTATCTTCCTCGTTTGTTGGTTTCCGAATAACAGATTAACTGATACAAAGTCTCATGCAAATTCCTGCTACAATTTTCCAATTTTACTGCGTTTTCGCACATGCATCGATGCATCATCATGATACGTTATCCGAGGGTTGGAAGAAAGGATAAAGGGAGAGGGTTGGGTACGGAAGACTAAGAGTTAATCATAGGTTGGGATATCTGAGCAGTAGTGGTCCTGATTATCCCGCGCGACGACAGTTGAAGTATGGAATTATTTTTATTTTGTGTGCATTTGAGTTTGATGGACGGGTACTGCTAGGGTGTCCAGCCACTAAGCAGGAGAATGATTAGGGTTCTCTTCCAAAGCCTTTAGTTCTGACAAGAACCTGACCGCAAGGCAGCGGTTAAAGCGAAGTAGAGGCCCATTTACTTGGATCAATTAATCTCTACCATTTCACCGGTTGAGACGCTAACTGGAGTCAAACCCTCATTCTGGAGGACCAGGAGACTGAATTTCGTCCGATCTCCACCCATTGACCCTCCAGGCATGATTAGGTCTGCGGCTTGACAAAAGCCATGCCGTATAACTCGGGTCACCCAACAAAGCGATTTCATCGGCATATTCTAAGTTGAGGACTCTGTTCCCTGGGAGGAGTTCAACTCCACCAGATCAGGCATCCGCTGTAACAAAGTTGTAAAGAAATGAAGGTATACGGCAGCTTTGTTGAACTCCACTGGAGAAGGCGAAGGGTGGCGAAAGCTGGCCATAGGCCCTAAACCCACCCGAGGTATGACAATACCACTCTTTGAGGAACGACACATATCCCTTAGGCACTCCATTTCTCAACAAACAGTTCCATA